CAGCCTCCAAACCTTTTGCACCCCCCAAATTTTGTCATTTTCTGTCCGCTTTAGCACTCCACCTATTTATATGAAATCAGGACCTTGCTGTTTTAAAAAGTTATCTGTTCCTTTTGCTTATTCTCCACCGACTCAAAAGTCATTCAGTCATGTGGATGCAAAAGAAATTTTCACAATATAATTATGAAAATAACTAGTAAGTCTTTAGAAGGAAAAGAACCAACTTTATAAAAAGTCATGAACAAAATTATTTTCCATACAACAGTGTTTGTAATAAAAGTAGGAACATTATTCTAGGAAAATAATATAAAAATGTAAAGGTATGCTTATAAATAGAATAACCTTTCAATGATATTTCCTAGAAAACGTTTAATACAACAGGCCTGCCAACATAGGACTGAAGAGGTGTTTGAATATTTTCAACTCAACTAGCCACTTCAACCCAACACAGTAAAATAAATCAGGATACATGAAAGAATAGATATAAAAGCCCATTCAGACAAATCAGAATTCATAGGTCAGTCAGTAATAGCATTAATCCCTAGATCTGGCACTCTCATATGTCAAAACAACAGCAAAAATATACCAAACTTAAAGAATATCAAGTGCATCCTGGAGAAGTGTATACTTTCACACCAAATATTACTCAACCAACACATGGAATACAAAACAGGAAGCACTTTAAGAGAAAAGCAGTATTACCATTCTGTAAACACACTGATTATGAGAAATAAAGGATATATACAATGTTTATTCTAACTATGGGTAGTCTACGTATCACATTCCATGCCTATAACTATCTATTGTCTATAATACAACATCAACATAAAATGCCTTGTCTTCCAGACATAGCTAAAAGCAGCCACAAGCACACTTAACAGACACCCTCCCTCCCCCCAAAACCCAGAAAGCACAAAAATCACTCTGCTTTCCTTCAAGAAAGGGCAATCTTTAGGGGCACCTGGGTGACTGGTTGGTAATGTGTCCAACACTTGACTTTGGCTCAGGTCATCATCTCACGATTGTGAGATGTGATTGTGAGATGGAGCCCCACATCTGGCTCTGTACTGTCAGTGCAGAGCCTGCTTGGGATTCTCTCTCTCCCCCTCTCTCTACCCCTGCCCCACTCGTGTTCTCTCTCTCTTTCTCTCTCTCAAAATAAATAAATAAAATTAAAAAAAGAAAGAATGGAAGGAAGGAAGGAAGGAAGGAAGAAAGGAAGGATGGACGGACGGACAGGGGCACCTGGGTGACTCAGTTGGTTAAGCGTCTGACTTCGGCTCAGGTCATGATCTCGCGGTCCGTGAGTTCGAGCCCTGCATCAGGCTCTGGGCTGACAGTTCAGAGCCTGGAGCCTGCTTCAGGATTCTGTGTCTCCCTCTCTCTCTGCCCCTCCCTCACTCACAGTCTGTCTGTCTGTCTCTCTTTCAGAAATAAATATTATTTTTTTTTTAAAAAAAAGGACAATCTTCAGTATTAAAACAGCAATATGGAATACGGTATCACTAGTATAGGTTCCAGAATCTAAAAGACTTGGTAAAATAATGAGTTAATGCTGAAAACAGATAAAAGTGTCCATGTAGCCAAATGAAGTTGGTATTAAATGTTTAATAGCCTGTATATAACCTTGAGCATTAGAACCCAATGACGTGGATACAAGCACTTAAGGAGATAATGAATCCAGCTCAGTGTTTGTCAGAAAATATTACCAAACTTTCAAGTCCTAGTAGAAAGCATTAAAACACTTCTTGGCTCTGAATCAGAAAAGGGTTCTGTTGGAGTTGATCCAAAAACACTAACTGTACTATGACTGGCAAACATAGGTGACTTGAACTTGGCCTAAAAATCCAAGTTCCGGGAAAGAACTTGCTATTAAATTGGCCATGCCAAACTTTTAAAAGTTTATTATACTATCATTTAATTGCAAAATAATTTTCTAATTAACTTTATAAATAATTCAACCATACTTAACATAAAACAAAATTGCAATGTAATATTTACAAGAATAATAAAGTCTGTATAATATGGCTTATAATTGTAACTGCTGATATTTGTTTGGCTTTTATCATGTGTCAAGCACTGGTCTGAGCACTTTACATGTATTTTCAAATCCTATAAAATTGGTACTATAACAATCCCCATTATACAGGCAGGGGAATGGAGACTTAGAAGAAGTAAATAATTTAACCAAGATCACACATTCGGCAAATGGCAGTGTCTGGGATTACCAGACCATTTGCCACTCTCTTCCCGTCTGTATAGAAACTTAGGGGCAAGTGGGGAGAGGGAGGGAGGAGCTGAAATCCATATTTCAGCCTGTAAACAACAATTCTACAGGTTCAGATCATCTTCATACTGCTAATTTCACACATAGCCTGAATTTTTAGAGGTGTTAAAATGACTGACACACTAAAATAAATATTTGTTGAAGAACCTGTGTCAAGGGGGAAATAAAAACTAAAAAACCCGCTTCTGCCACTAAAACATGGTGGACAAAAAGTTCATCCAATGATTTTGTTTTTATGAATAACACTGTTAGTCTTTGTAAACAGAGACTGCTAGACAAAATAATTATACTCTGTATATCTATATCATTACCTAAACTGAAGGAAATGAAGATACAAAAATTGTACAGTGTATTTTCATTGACCAATATTAAAAGAAATCCTGTGCAAAAGAACTTGTGAAAATTAGCTACAATCTATACAAACATAAAGTAAATGCATATACAATATTTCACATGGCAAATTGGCTTGTTTTATATTACATTTGCTTAGTCAGTGACTAGAATACCACTTCAGAAGAACAATATTTAACCTGGGATTGTGTATTCCCCCCCCCCCAAGAATAATCAATAAAGAAGCCTGTGCGTTGCTTAGATTTCTAGGACTTTTATGAATGAATCTCAGAGCTCATTAGTCGTATGAGGACTCTGCAAAGAGCTATTCGTAATATGGATATTTTATTTAACGCTCCTTGTGGCTCCAGAAATGAAATATCTTCAATGCCAAATATCTCGCAAATTACCTTATTAGTTAAAGTGTATGAGTTTCCAATTGCAATAAACTATTTTAAGGGAATGTTTTCATAATTGAGAGACAACCTATATTCTCTTCATAAAGTAATGGACATGTTCAAGTCCACAACTCTCAGAGAAAAAGGCCAACACTGAAAGATTTCAAAATGCAAGAATCTGAACTACTGAACATGTATGCTCATTTCTTCTCTAATAAAAACCACTAACCCCAAAAGAGTCAAAAGTTCATCTCATCTTCTAAAATGCTTATAAATATATCCACACTGGAATGACAAATGTTTAAGAGCTAAAATGGTAATAAAGGTCCCATTGATAAAGGATAAAATGTAAACAGTGATGCTAAATAATGTTTTAATTACTTTATGTTGAAGAGATCCCAATTTTATACAAGCAATAAAATATTACCTTCCTTTGGGCAGCTTTTCTATAAAACTTTTTGCTGTGTAACAAGTAACACTTTGATATAATTAAGACAATTAGATTGGTATCTACTACTTCAGGGAATTGTCTTTGCTTCTCTGCGAAATGATTTTCACACGAAATCCAGCACCATTAAAAAAGACAATCTAATACTAAGGCCCAGTGTGCTGTGTTTTGTCACCCTATTTCCAAGGTTACTAGAATACACAAAGAGCATGTTCCATTCAAGCTTGCACCTGTGGGGGAGGGAGGGCGGTGGAATAAATATGCTTTCCACTTCTCTAATCAAAATAACGTACAAGAAATTGTCTAGTTCCCAGTGAGTGAATTACCAAAAAAAAAAAAAAAAGATAAAATTAAAGCTTTAAAGCTGGTCTAGTTCTACCATAGGCTGTCAATGATACTCTTCCTTAACTCTACAGGCAAGTTTTAAAGCTTCTTGTGTCTTGCCAAAGAAAAAACAAACGTCTGCCAAATGATGTTCCTGCTGCCATCCCAGCTGGCTTTTGCTGTGTCCAAATAGCTCTCTGGTTGTGGCCCTCACTTTATAAGCGTCACTGATTACTGTGCCGGTCCCATCCCCCCAGCCCCAGTGATACTTGGTGCAGTCCTTGAACTTGATCCACAGAGCCCCCTCCCGAAGCGCACTGCAAAAAGCACCACGCGAAATCCTTTCCAAATCCTCGCCCCCATTCTCTCATTTCAGAAAACCACTGCATTTTATTCCCCCTGGGAAAGTGGACTCAATCCTCCTTTCGCACGTGAGGTGCCCAGAAAGGAAACACAATCACATACACATACACGCATACCCACCCACAACGCACGCACGCACCAAGTCCCTTCCTAAGCTCCAACCCTGACAGCAGCAGACATCCAAACTCTAGTTCCTTCCACCAGCCGCTGTTGGAAACCAGCAGTTACTGACAACTGGCAGGGGAAATCTGAGGTTTCTATGAGTGGATGGACTCCTCTTTCCCACCAGCTGCCCTGGACCCCTGAGGAGCCCGGTAGGCGCAGTCGCCACTGCTCGCGTTGCCCCCTTCCAAAAACACCGTAATTGTACGCTCCTGCTCCAGAAAGGCACCAACTGTATGTGATCCTGGCGGTGCGCGGTAATGCCTCGATGCTAAACTGCCCTCTGGAGGGACCCCGCTGAGACCCACATAAGTTAACCCCCAGGAATTCCGCGGAAGCAGAGAGAGGGGTGAGGACTCGGGCACACAGCTTTGTGCTGCGTGTCTTCTTCCCGCCTTCCGCAGAAGGGCGCCCAGCTCCTCCGGGAGCAGGGCAAGGGGAGAGGGCGCCATCACTAAAGTTAAGAAAAAGGAATGCTTGGGTACTGCGTGTTCCGGAGTTGGTGGAGACGGGACTCAAAAGAGACGAAACCGTAAGTTGTGCTTACAAGGGAAAGCCCTTCGCACTTACTAGCTAACCAGCCCCCGCCGGGGACACCTGCCAGGTCCGGGTTCCAGCCCGGCTCAAACGCTCCGCGGGTCGACGAAGGGGCGGGGAGAAGTAGGAAACGCGGACACTGGGAACTTACGGAAGAAGATGTACTCAGTGTAGCTGCTCCAGATCTTGTCGTCGCGGTACTGGTTGACGAAGGCGGCGGTGCCCGAGGAGTTACACGCCACCATGTGGAAGCCAGCCTCGGACAGGCGATCGAACGCCTGCTCCAAGTAGGTGAACTTGAGGTAGAAGCGGGACGTGTACTTCTCGGGCGGCCGGTCTGGGTCGCGGCTCTCGTTGAGCGTGTCCCCGAAGACCTCCTTGGCCAGCGCGATGCGCCCGCACACCATGATGCGCGCCACACGCCGGAACTTGGCGTCCGCCTGGTTGTCGCGCACCGTGGTGTAGGAGCCGCGGTAGCCGAGCGTGAGGAAGCCCGAGCGCTTGTCCGGCGCGGCGCCGCCGCCGCCGCCGCCGTGCGCTCCTGGGCCCGAGGGCGCGGCTGCCGCTGCCCCACGCAGCAACAGCGCGTCGCTGCTGCCCTGGGAGACGTTGTCCTCCAGGTCGCTCTGGCAGCCCTCGTCGTTGAGTGAGTTCTGCTTGGTGACCTTGGGCGACAGCAGCTTGACCAGGTCGGTGAGCTGGAAGTACTCGGCCTCGCGCAGGAGCCGCTCCTTCTCGGGAAAGTGCTCCGGCAGCGCGAGCTGCTTGTCCCGCAGATAATCCAGCACGTACCTGAAGAGGAAGCCGTCCCGGTCGATGAAGAAGCGCGCCCGGCTGTCTCTGGGCAGCTCTCCCCGGCGTCGGGCGCCGCCCCGGGGGCTGGAGGGCGAGAACATACTGGCCAGAGTGCTGTCCGGGACGCTGAGCAGCGTCGAGTGCTTGGTCACATAGACCTGACCTCCCACGTTCAGCTCCACCACCTCGGGGAAGGGAGAGGGCACGCAGGGCCCCGGGGCGGCGGCTGCAGACGCGCCCGGCGAGCTGGACGAGGAGACCATCTCGCTAATGGGCAGGATGGTGCTGCCGCCGCTGCCCGTGTCCTTCAACGCCATGGTCCCCCCGCCGCCGGCCAAGTGACACGGGAGAGCAGCACTTTCTCCTTCCCGAAGCCCGCGCCTTGCACCCCCGGCAGCCCTCGGCCTCGGCGTGCGCCTGGTGCGCCCTCGGGCCGGGCGGCACGTTCCTTCGGCCGGGGCGTCCCCGTTCAGGGCTCGGGGCAGCGGCGGCGGCGGCGGCGCCCAGGATCCATCGGGGGAGCGAAGCGCGCGGGAGAGGAGCTCCGGGGCGCCGCGGCGGCGGTGGAGGCGCGAGGAGGAGCGGCTGCTCCTTTGGGGTGACGGCGGGGAAGTGTGAGGGAGACTTGCGAGAGGCTCTTAGGCAGCCGCTCGGCTCCTCGCGGGGAGGGCTGGAGGAGGGGCCGGAGCAAAGAAAACTCGCCGCCCTAGCAGCTTGCGAGCGCGCAGCGAGCCCCGGGCGCGGATGGTGGCGCTAACTACTCCTCGCAGCCCGGGGAGGCGGCGCTGACGTCAAGCTCCGGACTGGGACCCGAGCCACAGCTGTCATTTAAAGAGATAGGCGCCAGCCGCTGGCTGCGGGGCTCCGACGCTAGGGGGCGGGGGCCGAGCTTGGAGGAGAGGCTACTTGGCAGCCAGCGGGGAAGAGCGCGC